CCCCCGAGAGCGCGAAAGAACGGTTCGCGGACCCCGTTCATTCGCGTCCAACGCGCGTTTGAACGCGGATTGAACGCGAATTGAACGCGCATTCAATTTTTTAACGCGGACCTCGCGTTAAATCGAATTTCGGACACATAGCACACACACATACACACACACATACACATGCAACATTAGAGAACCCGCTCCCACATCAGAAAGCTCACTCCATGTCATCCAGTCATTTTTGGAGCGGGAGAGACTACGTAGCCCTAACTCAAAGTCACATTGAGTTCTGACTGAGTGCGAGCTAATTGTTTTTCCTCGCTACATGTGAACGTAAAAGATAACAAAGTTGCATGACACATGCAATGAGCAACGAAGGAAACGTTCGTACCGTCTTCCCCAGAATAGAGCACATGGTCATTACCGTCGTATCGAGTCCGGAAACCTGCCTCAGATGCTACACAACTCGGTGCACATAAGCAAGAGGGGGGAAACAAAGAGAGAGAACGACCTCAATAGCATAAAAGATGCCGTGCACGATGAGGGAGATAGTTATTTGCCCGATGATGAGAAAAACTGCTTGCAGATGAAGATGGTCATATTGAAGACCTCGACGATGACAACCTCCTTCTTCTAAATGATAAAGTTTTAATGAACTTTTCACAGGACCCCCAACAACAAACCGTCGAGATCACCACGGCCCAAACACTTCCCCGGACCATTCATTCGATAGGAGCAACGAACGGTGTGTACAAGGGGAAGGGACGTAATCAGCGCGAGCTGATGACTTGCTCTTATTGGTATTCCTCGTTCAACTTGAAGATCGACAATTACAACAATCTATCCCAGTCACGATGAACCTTAAAAAGATTACTCGGGCTCTTTCCCCCAGGCAAACAACTTGCTGGATTCATCAGTGTAGCGCGTGTGTGCCCATGTAAGAGTTCTCTCTCTCTCTCTCTCTCTCTCTCTCTCTCTCTCTCTCTCTCTCTCTCTCTCTCTCTCCCCTTCTACTTCTCTTTCCTCGTCATCCTCTGCTAACTAAGCTTGATGCAGTCTGCAACACGATCCGACACGACGTGTAACATACTGCGACCACAACATGGGGAACACGAACGACACAAACGCGCATTCCAGCAAGTTGGACGGATGACGACCAACCTCACGCCGCCACCGGCGGATGCATCACACATCCCACATCCCACATGTCGTCACCCTTCGTATCTGATAGGCAGGCAAGGCATGTAAACATAAAATATTTTAATAATAATAATA